CTGTAAGTCTCCCCCTCACAGAATCCTTGCCCCATCTGACCTCTGTCTAACCAACCACATTCAGGGCCCCCCCCAGCCCCTCCCTCTCTCTGAACCCATCCCTGCCCCTCTACCGGGGGCGGCCAGCCCGGCTTCTCTTCCGTGGAACTGCCACCCTCCCCCTCGCCACCCTCTCCCTCGGCCCACGCAGGGCCCAGCCTGGGGGCAGCACAGGCTCAGCCAGTCTGGCCAGGCCGGGCAGTCAGGCCTCTGGCACAGCCAGGCCTGTCATTAGCCCATCCCGAGCCAGTGGGGAGGATGGCCACCGGTGTGGGCTGCCAGGCTGAAGGCCGAGGGCCACACGCTCAGCTTGGGGCTGGGCCTCCACTTCTGAGCCCAGGAACTGTGGCTTTCTGGGGCCTGTCCTCTGGGCCCACCAGACCCCTGTCAGGGCGGCCAGAAGAATCCCAGGGGGCCGAATGGGCTCATCTCCTGGGCCCCAGCTCTGTCTTCACTGCGCCTTCCAGAGCCTGGGAAGGAGGCCTTGTCATCCTCCTTACCCAGATGAGGAAATCAGTTGAGAGAGTTCAAGGCTGTTGCCCAATGTCACAGAACGGGTCGTGGCAGAGTTGGGACGCGACCCAGGGAGGCCTGGGCTTATTTCAGAGGACAGCCACAAAGGGGCCTCCACATCTTCTCCCAGATTTGGAGCGTGCCAGCCCCGGGCCCAGCCCTCCCAGCCAAGGTGGAGCCACCCTGGGCAAATCCCAGTGGCTTCCAGAGCCACACAGGAGGCGGCTGGTCCGCACTGGCCAGGGCTGGAGGTGACTGCCTGTTGCTGGAAGCCTCCTGGAGCTCCTGCCTTGGAACAATGCAGGGAGATGCTCTGAAGGGACCCTTGGTGACACAATGTGTGTAGTCACCAAGGACTGTGACGTCCCGTTGCAGATTATTTACGGAAATTTAAACATCTTGGAACTTAATGGCATTGTCTCTGCTTAAAAAAAAACAGGATCTTACCTTGAGGCTGTGGGCTGAGAAGTTTGTGAACTTCTGCAGAAATAAATGGTTTTCAAAGAATATATTTTATTTATTTATTTATTTGACAGAGAGAGAGAGAGAAAGAGCATGAGCCAGGGGCAGAAGCAGATTCCTGGTTGAGCAGGGACCCCGAAGTGGGACTCGATCCCAGAACCCAGGACCATGACCTGAGCCGAAGGCAGAAGCTTCACTGACTGAGCCACCCAGGCGCCCCAGAAATAAATGGTTTTGGACCAACTTTCAGCTAGACTAATTTTTGAGCTGAGAGTGAGGCTGTTTCCTTGTAGTCTTCAAAAAAAAAAAATCTGCTTGATTTTATAAGGGTCAGAATGTTATGTTAGGTGTGCGTGGAGGGGGGGATGTGGGGGAATAGTTCTGAGCTGACACCAGCTCTCTTGGTCTTTGTGTCCTTGTTCCCAGGAAATAAGGAGGAAAGTTCCCAGAACCTGGGTCTGTTTGGCCCAAGGAGATTCTTCTGGACGTCTGGGTAGGAGTCCAGCAGGGTGGTCCCTAGAAGGACACAGGCTCTAAGCTCAGAAGACAGCGGAATGGCTAGGTTTGGGTGGGAGACCGTAGCTGTCCTTTTCCTAAGGATGCAGGGGGAGCGGACACAGGGAACTAAGTGTGTGCACGGGGGTGGGGCCGGAGTTGTGATTCTGGGCTTGACTGAGCTCCTAGGGCTGTGGGGAGAAGTCTAAGAAGTCCCAGCTCCCTCCTCATGTGAGTGGGACCAGAGCCCAGGGGTGGCTCCTTCCTCCTCATTGGTACTGCACTTGCCAGTTGACAAGGCTTTTTCACACCCTCATCTCATGCGACAGGTGTCTTCGATAGGGGAGGAGCGCCAGTGCCCTCATTTGACAAAGAGGGGAAGTTGAGGCTGAAAAAGAAACTAGCCTCTCCAAGGTCCCATGGTTGGCAAGATGCTACTGAGCTGGGCAGGGATGGGTGAACTGATCTGGGGAAGAGGGTTGTCCTGGAAAAAACCGGCATCGTAATACAATTCTATCAGCATATAATTAGACAGTGAGGATTGGGAGGAAAAAAAAGGAAGGAAGTGCCAGCCCTCACCTCCTTACCTTAGAAGCAAAGAGGGTGGGTGGCAGACCCATTAGATGTCACAGCAGAACGTTGTTCAAGCTGTTAGGAGCGGCAGGCTCCGGGAGCCAGAGCCAGAGCCAGAGCACGTGCAGGAAAAGTGTCTGGTTTCTCCTGGTGTTTTTCCTGCAACAGATGGGTGGGACCCTGCCAGGACCTCCTGGTGTAAGTCAAGCCTCCCCAAATATTTCTCCAGCTCCACTCATGTGCAGAGCTGCTCCTGGGGACCTCCTGTTCCTTCTGCATACCTGGGCCCACAGCCCCATCCAGGCTCCCCATAGACCTCCCCTGCTCTGGGCCTGCCCTTCACCTGGGCCCCCCCTGCACCTGCCCTTCCCCTGTGCTCAGCCCCTCCCCCGCCTGTGATGTGCTTGGCTGAACTGGGCAGGGAAGGAAAGCTTCTTAGTCACTTCTTTGAGCCACAGATGGAAAGTTCTAGGGCCTATGTGCCCCCCACCCCCACTCCTATTTTTCCAAATGCCAGTTGGCTGTGTCGTAAGAAAACAAGGGCAGGAAGTTGGCAGGGGCAGGGGTGGGGCTGGCCGGGGGTCTGGTCATCTGAGCAACCCACTTCTGGACTCAGAAAGCTTACTGTAGGGCTGGGACCATGGATGAGGGAGCCCTGGGTTAGGAGGCTCAAGCCCTCAGCCTTCTCTGGGCCTCAGTTTACCCATCTGTGCAAAGGCTGTCAGGAGTCCCTGCCCTACTTACTTTCGATGAGGTCATCACAGGAAAGCACTTATTGTCAATCTGGAAGGGTACTTATCTCTGTTGTTCAGCCCGCGGGCATCTGCTGTTCCTCCGAGCCTTGTAAGGAAAACCTGGGAGGTGTGGTACCAGCAGAAACCATCCGTGTGTGTGTTTGTGTGTGTGTGGATGGGGGAGGGGGGAGGAATGCAGGGCAGGGTAGGGGGGACATTTGGGAACCAGGAGAGAGCCTCCTGCCTTTCTGAGTGTCCCAAGCATTCACTGAGCACACCTGCTTCTGTTCTCCGGGATCCCCCAGCCTCATGGAGGGGGCGGCTGTTTGTCTCGCCAGCCACAACCCAAGACCTCAACTTCCCCACCGTATTGTCTCAGCCAAGCCTGTGATTTGTCACGCCATACACACGGGATTGCAAATGCCTCCTGTGTGCCCGGGGCTCACAGATGACTCCAACCGAAATAACGCACGCTTACTGATTCTCCCGTAGGAAGCTGGGGGACATGGGGCCACCCCAGGGTGCCGGTCTTGGTGCTGGGAGCTCAGGGTTGCCTTGGAGCCATGTCGGTGGAGGGTGAGGGGTTCCCTTGATCTATCTGGGATGAGTGAGGCCCAACCACTGTCCCCCATAAAGACCCCCGCAAACCCTGCTCTGCTTTCTTTTACCTCCGTTTGGTTTCCAGAGACATCGTTCTAAGGTGTGTGGACCCCTCTCTGCCTGGCAGCCCTCGCCCTAGCTCCTCGCGGTGCGCACCCGCACCGTGATATTCGGGGCAGAGGTTTCTAGCCCTTTCTCTTGAGGCCCCTCCCCCACAACCCCAGGGTCTGGTCAGACTGGATTCCTCCGGGTTCCTAGAACCAGCTGCATTTCCCCAGGCTCCCGTACCTTTGCCCTCCATGTTGCTTCTCCCCAAATGTCCTCCTTCACCCAGACTAGCTGTCTTGCACAACTCCCAGGGGCCCCATTTGTGGTGATTCCCGCCTCTAGCACATAACCTGAGACTGTAGCCACCCCTTCTCCCCCCTTCCCTGGAGTTGTGCCCAGCAGCTTCCCCCCCCCACCGAAGCCCCCTCCCCAGTGCCCCACCTCCACCCAGTTTCTGTTCTTCCTCCACTTCCAGGTCTCAAGGGACTTTGCTCCCACCCTGGCTTTATCTGACCACTGCTGTGTGTCTTCCCATAGTAAACAGGGCCTGGCCAGTGGCTCTAGGTGACCTTCCCCACTCAGTTCTGTCAAGCGGCTTCAAACGGGGGGGGGGAGGGGAGGAACTGGCCGAAACTCTCCTGGTTGGGGAAAGTTTTCTTTTCAGCCCAAAGACTTCCTCTTCTGGCAGGGCTGGGAAACCCGGTAGTGGGAAGGGAGGGGACAGCAGGTGACAGATCCAGGAGTCCTGGCCCCCCAGCTCCTTGTTCTCCAAACCACCCTCATGAGGCCCCCATGGAAATCCCCCGGGAGGCAAGGGCGGGAATGGTGAGCCGTGCCGTGGGGCGGGCGGGGATGGTGATAAGGACGGGACTGCAGGAATCAAGGCGGGGCCACTCTCTGACATTCCCCGGGCGTCATCTCAGACCCTCTCCCTGACCATCCCACCCTGTCTGCCCACCCAGGGCTGGAATGAGGGAGCGCTGAGGTGTAGGGATCCTGGTCTTCAGGACCCCAACCCTGGCTGGAGCTGGCTGCCCCATGCGTCCAGGTGCCTTCGAGCTGTGACTCAGTTAGGGTCTGTCTCCAGGTTGACCTCAGCAACGGGCCCGGGGGCAGGGGGAGAGGGCAGTTTCCCCTGAGACTGGCTCTCCAGGATCCTGACTCAGGGGCCCAGGGGCTGAGGCCTTGAAGTGCCTTCATGTTGGCCCGGGTTCAGGAATCCAGAGAAACTGGTCGGGGGTGGGGGGGAGGGGAGGTCCCGGGACTAAAACCCCTCCCTCTGCTCCCGCCCCCACTGCAGAGCCATATAACCGCTCAGCTCGGCCGCGCCAGAATCTGAGTGCCAGAGCCTGCCGCTGCCAGAAAGGAGTGGTCGCTTGCCTCTAGAAGACGGGGGAGCTGGGGAGCTGACCCGAGGCTTCCGGACTCCCAGTGAAAGTCGTCCCTGCGGACACCGAGGGTCTGCCCTCCGCGCGCTTGGATTCCTACAGCCCCCCCGGGCCGGACCCCCTGCAACCTTCCAGGCCCTAGAGCCCCGCTCCCACAGGCGCCGAGCCATGGCCTCGATGGGGCTGCAGGTGATGGGCATCGCGCTGGCCGTGCTGGGCTGGCTGGGCGCCATCCTGAGCTGCGCGCTGCCCATGTGGCGGGTGACGGCCTTCATCGGCAGCAACATCGTCACGTCCCAGACCATCTGGGAGGGCCTGTGGATGAACTGCGTGGTGCAGAGCACCGGCCAGATGCAGTGCAAGGTGTACGACTCGCTGCTGGCGCTGCCCCAGGACCTGCAGGCGGCCCGCGCCCTCATGGTCGTGTCCATCCTGCTGGCCGTGCTGGGCGTGCTGCTGTCCGTGGTGGGGGGCAAGTGCACCAACTGCGTGGAGGACGAGAGTGCCAAGGCCAAGACCATGATCGTGGCGGGCGTGGTGTTCCTGCTGGCCGGCCTGCTGGTCTTGGTGCCGGCGTCCTGGACGGCCAACACCATCATCCGGGACTTCTACAACCCGCTGGTGGCCTCGGGCCAGAAGCGGGAGATGGGCGCCTCTCTCTACATCGGCTGGGCCGCCTCGGGGCTGCTGCTGCTGGGGGGGGCCCTCCTTTGCTGCAACTGCCCCCCGCGCGCCGACAAGCCCTACTCGGCCAAGTACTCTGCCGCCCGCTCTGCCCCAGCCAGCAACTACGTGTGAGGTGCCCGCTACTCAGCTCTGTCCCGCCAGCTTTGTTCCTCCGGGACTGAAGGTGCAGCCTGAGCCCAGGATGGGGCTGCAGGCTGCCTGGAGTTGGGCAGGCGGGGGCCTGAGCCAGGCCACCGGCCGGCAACAACTCAACCCATTCTGGCCCCCTTGGACACTGAACCCAAGGCCCCCCCCATGCCAGCAAGGATGGACAGAAAGACTCTGCGCCTCCCTCCGCTAAAGGGCCTGTGGACACAGGAGAGGAGGCGGGAAGTCCCAGGGTGTGGCGGGCTGGGGGGTGGCTGGCTCCTGCTGGTCAGGACAGCTCAGCCCTGAATTCGCTTGGGCTCTGCCTCCGAGTGGGTGCCCTGCCCATTCCTGTGTTGTCCAGGAGAAGGGCTCGGGCCTCGCTCAGCCACCTGACTGTGGAGCCAGAAGTGACACAGAGTTGACAGACGGGTTTGGAGGGGAGGGTTGAAGGTGCTGCAAACTGGTTTGGGTAGTGGTGGGGAGGAGGCCATGGAGGCTGCCCAGGCAGCCCGCACCCCTTCCTGTCCCCACCCGATGGCCTCAGGGCTCTGCCTCAGCAGCCCCCGCAGCAGGACCCCAGGACTCTTCTGACTTGCGACATCTGCCACCGCTGCCAAGGTCCCTGGACATCCTGGGGACAGCTGGGAAGGGGGGATGGTCTCTCTCTGGCCTGCACTCCCGGGAAGTCCTGGGCCTTTTTCCTGCCTCCTCTATGGTTTCTGTTTTGTAACTGAAGGAGATCTGTTTGTCATGGTCATTACTGTTATTTTCTACAATAAATGGGACCTGTGCACAGGAAGACCCTACGGTTTCTGATTTCAGCCCTGAAGGTGGGCAGGGGTGGGGTCAGCAAGGAGCAGGACCACTGTGATGTGGCTGCTACAAGAACCCTTAAACTGGTTTTGAGGAATAGGGACAAATCAGAGCTGGCCCTCCGCTGTGGAGTGACCTTGCTGAAAGCCCTTCATTTGTTAGAAGGTAGGTAAAGCCATACGTAGGAGACACAACTGTGTGCCCAGCACCGTGGTGAAGGGTTGGGGACCCCAGGAGGGAGGCCAGGGGAGTGGGCCACCTGCCCTCTCCCCTTCTTTGTCCCGGCTTTGTCTGGGAAGCCAGGCTGGTCTGCTCGCCCTCCAGGTCCCATGTCCTGGCCTTGGCTGGGGCTGTCCCTGTTGTGGGTCTGGAATGTCCTTTCCCCTTCCTCCAGCCCTCTGAATCCTGCTCATTCTGAAGGCCCCACTCCAAGGCTCCTTCCTAATGAGCCTCTAAGACACACCGGGCTTCCTGACGCTCTAAAAAGTCAAGATGAAGAACGGGAGTCCTGGATACGTGAAAGTACTCAGTCAAGGCCAGGGCATGAGCACGGGTCTCCCGGTCCTTCAGTTAGGGTGGGAGGATCCGCCATGATGGCAGGAGTCACAAGGTCACATCTGCGATCCCATCATGCCTGGCTCAGGTAAGGCTTGGGGTGGGAGCCCCCTCTGTTCTGTCTTTCCTCACTTCTGTCCTCAGGGACAGATGTCACCTTCTTGGGGGAGAGAATCAGCCATCTCACTTCTGTCCTTCTCAGGGACAGATGTCACCTTCTTGGGGGAGAGAATCAGCCAGAATCCTGGGGCCTTCTGGGACTCATTTAATAGGCAGAACTCCCTGAGGGGCAAGCTGGGCACAGGGACCCCATTTTATAGATGAAGCAGAGGCCCAAGGACGGGCATGGCTGAGGGCACGTGGAGGGTCAGAGGTCAGTGGGGGGCTGAGAACGGGGCCTGACTCCCTCCATCTGGGCCGCCTCCTGCTTTTGGTACAGGTAGACGATGCCGGAGATGAAGCCATCATTGTCAGGAGTTCCAGGCCCCACCTCAAGCTCGGAGGTGGCCAGTTCCCACCGGTCCACAGGCCAGGCCACGAGGCGTTGCCACGCCCCGGCCCGCTCCAGCCCGTCCAGCGTGGCCTCCAGTGCCTCCTTGTAGCGCAGGTTGGATGGGTTAGTCCTGGTGGTGAGACACACTAGCCCCCCTGGGGAGGACGGGGTGGGGTAAGGTGAGTGGGGGAGGGGCCTCCTGCCCCTCTGCGATCAATGGGCTCGAGTCCCACCCCTTCCCCGATGTTTGTCCCTTTCTGCTCCTGTCCTCAAGGGTGTCCTCAGGGGCATATATCCTCCCAGCTTTGTCCCCCGGCCAGCCTTTCTCCACCTCCATGCCTTTGGTGCTCACCGTTCCTGCCCCCAGGGGAATCCCTCTGCTCCCTCGGCCTCACAGCCTTCTATGTGCCCATCCAGGCTCCAGTGTCCTTTACCCTGGAAATTCTTGGCTTAATCCCCTGGATAGGGCGACTCCAACCTCACTGCTCACCCAGCCCCTCTGCGGGAGGATGTGGCAGCATCTGGAAGCACAGGAAGGAAGCACTCTGGGCCTCGGGCAAGTCCCCTCACCTCTCTCGGCCTGTCTTTCCACCTTACAAAGTGGGGCTGATTCCCGCGGGTCATAGGAAGGACTGCGGAGTCATCAAGCCCCGGCTCAATGAATGAATGAATGACCTATCCCTTCATGTCTTCTCCAGACACCCATAGCATGCCCAGTGCAGGCTCAGATGGTGTCTGGTGGGCTTCCTGGAGGAAGGGGTGAGGAGGAGCAGGGCCTTGCAGGGTGGGTGATGGGGCTCCGTGAGAGGAAAGGCTCCAAGGCAGGGGAGCCTGCGCCATGTGGACAGACAGGGCTCTGGCCAGCTGAGGGGCCTGATGAGCATGGGCTGGGCTGGTTCTGAGGGGAGCTTCCTATTCTCTCAAGCCCCATCACTACCTCTCTCTCTGACCCCTCTCAAGACCCTGCTTCTGTCAGCGTCCACAGTTCCCTGAGGCCGAAGCCTGCCCAGACCTGCCCAGGCTTAGCCACGGGCCCTACTGGGCCCAGCGAGGCTCTGTCATTCCCCTTTCTGCCGGTGACTTCCCTGTGGCTGTCTTCCTGACTTCCGGTTTCTGCCTGTGGCCGCGTTCCCATGTGGGCTGCCCTCACCGGCCCACCCTCCCCCCGTCTCTGACTTCTCAGAGCGTGGGCCCACCGGTGGCCTGGCCCTCTTCCCACCCACCACCATCCCGTGGGGGCAGGGGGTCTGCCACTGTTTGGACGTGAGGAGACAGAGCCAGAGAGGACAGCAGAGTTGTTCCACGGATAAGAGGCCAGCGAGCTCCCCGTCTGCCCTGCCTGTTGGCCTGGGTCTGTTGCTGGTGGCCGCTGGAGGCTGGGATGCAAGGCTAGGCCATGGGACCCCGCTTGGCCCAAGAGGCTCTGAGGCTGGCTGGCTGCTGCGTGGCGAGGGGGAAAGTGTGTGCCTGGGGTTGGATGGGCTGCTCCTCACCTGGCTTGGTAACTCGCAGAAGCTCAGGTATGGCACTGCAGGGTACCTGGCCGTCACTGAGGGCCCCCACTATCAGCACCGCATCGAAAGTCCCTATGCAGAATGGGGAGAGGCGCTGTGGGGGTGTGTCTTTGTCACGGCCTCGCGATACCCATCAGGAGGGACTGGGCCTGCCCCTTGTGTCCGGAGTATCTGGCAGGTGGGGCCCTCTCCTGGGCTGAGGTCTGATCATGGGGTGGAGGGCTCAGAGAGGGGCTTAGTGAGGCTCTGGGGGGGCTTAGTGTGGGATGGGGGGTGTGGAGGGGGACAGAGGCTGGCCAAGAGAAAGGGGCATTGGTAAGGTGTCTGGGTGGGAGGGGAAGTACCTTCAGAAATGGGCAGAGGCTCTTGGCCCAGGATGCAGAGACTGAGGTGCTGGTAGAGGCCACGGGCTCGGGCCTGGTCCAGCATCTCTGGGCTCCCATCCACTCCGTGCAGCTGAAGGAAGCCCCGAGCGTGCAGCTGAGATTGGGGGTGGCGGGTGGGGGACTTAGTCACAGTTCAGACCTGCCATCTCCCAACTGGGTCTCTGAACCCAGGGAGGGCAGTGCGCCCTGCCGTAAATGCAGTCCGAGTGTCTGGGACCCGTGAATCAGATGGGCGGGTGGGCCGGGGGGCAGAGTTCTGGGGCCAGGGGTGAAAGGAAGTCCGAACAAGTGGGGAGCTGAAGAGAGGGCAGGGGACCCGGGGAGGCCTCACCTCGGCAGCCACCAGGCCGGTGCCACAGGCCACATCGAGGATCCGGGCAGCGTGAGGCGGGCCTGGAAGGGCTTGGGTAAGGCAGTCCACTGCGAAGCATGGGGCACGGTACCGCAGGGCAGCGACGTCCTGGGGACAGAGCGCTGAGAGCCGACGGGCACCCAGTGTCCCCCTGTTTGGGGGGCCTCCGTGCAGGGCTGTCTAGGAGTCAGCCAGGCCAAGCTGTGTGTGTGTGTGTGTGTGTGTGTGCGCGCGCGCATGCATGCGTGTGTACGTGTGTTTGCGTGTGCTGGGCTCACCAGGGCTCTAGCCCTGCAGGGATTCCAGCACGAAATGCTTTTCCTCTGCCAGAATGAGAGTCGGCCCCCAGCCCACCGCTGGGAATGGCTCTGTGGGCCAAGGCAGTGCTCTCTTCCTAGTCCATAGTTACCCCTCAAGGGGCACCTCCTCCAGGCAGCCAGCTGTTCTGCCCAGGCTGCCGTCCCAGGGTGGGGAGGTCTTGGTTCCTGATCTCTAGGGCCTACCAATGTGGAGCCACGGGACTGCCCCGAGGGTAGGGCTGTGTGGCTGAGCCGAAGAGGGGCTGGTCCTCGAAGGGGGCAGGACTGCAGAGGCTCACCTCGTTCTCACAAGCCACCCGGGGTGGGGGGCGGGGGTGAGGCCAACCGTCCCCACTTTACAGATAGGAAAGTTGAGGCTGGGCGAGCACGAGAGGAGGAGGGAAGCCGGGCCGGTTTACCTGGTCGTAGTCCGCAGCCCAGTGCCCATAGAAGTGCAGCTTGCGGCCCAGGTCGGTGATGCTGTGCAGGGCCCCTACCCGGGCCCGCGCCTCGGACAGGCTCCCGCCCTGCTCCTGAGCCATGCTCCTGCGGGGACGCAGCCTGGGTACCCCGGGCCGCCGCGGTCTCCCCCAGGCCCGCCCCTCCCCCACCGCCGGGCCCTTGCACAAGCGGTGACAGCACGCGCGGAGCGAGCCTGCACACGCGGGCTTCGGGGCTGGCGGGAAGGTGGTCCCCGCCCAGCGGGAG